GGCCCTCCCGGCCCGGTCTTGATTCTGGAGGCCTCCAGGCCTGAGGCCTTGGTGTGACGTGCGGGGATCAGAGGCCTCTTGTTGCGACGCTGATCCACCCGCCGCCTCCGTGATCCGCTGTGCTCAGTGAGCTGCGCTGGGTCGGGTTAGGAGACGTTAGGGGGGGCAAATAGGCATCTTCATGGAGACTGGCTTTTTTTTCACCTGATATCTGCGATACAGCGGTGATACAGAAGGTGCTTTTCTGGCCTGGAGCAATCAGGCGGCAAACGGTTGTGTTTTCTGGGAGACTGTTGCTGGTGGTTGCATCATGTGAGCTGGATTTGCTACCTGATAGAGTCCTGTGCCGAGCTCACTTTGTAAACTGAACATAATGAATACTCAGAAGCTGCTGCCCAGTGGTTGTTACCTGGCAGCCAGGTTGGTTTTTGTAGCAGTTTGGATGGGCTAAGTTCAGTTACTTCTCATAAAGGGTTCTGCAAACAGTTTTCACAGACCTAGAATTGTATTAATTTGTGCTTTAAAGTGAGAGTTTTATAGACATTGACGTGTCAAATTAAGTGGCCAGTATGTCCAGAAAACTCTTAATAGCTTACATAGTCAGCAACTGATTAATATTGTCTGTGTGTTTTTGCCTTAGGACTTCTCCGCGACTGCTTTGTGTAGCAACACAACAGAAAAATAGTGGCCAGAACTTGGAAGAAGACCACACTCAGAGCCAAAATGAGCAGAAGGTTGAACCCAGCTCTGCTGAAAAAAGGTTAACTGAAGAAAAGGTCAAACTGGAAGAACAACTAAAAGAAGTTACTGTAAGTGTCGTCTGGTCATCATGTTGCATACCTTACAAACTGCGCACCTAAGAGCGTTCACTGCAGGTTCTCGGTGCACCCTCTGGGTACACTTGTGTGACTGCTGTCTAGTTGTTGAACAAAATCCTGCAGTTCGATAATTTCTTTAAACTTAAGAGTAGCTATACTACAAGACCTAAATGCATCTCTGGTCCAAAATTAAGATTTTTGGATAATTTATTTCCAGCTTCTGGATGGAAGGCTTTCTGTGAACACACACACTACTAGAAAAAAACAGAAATCTTTGATTGATAAAACTTGATATATCCGTAGAGTCAAAAATTTCTTCCAGCTAATCTGTTGCCAAATACTGAGAGTCTGGAAACCCATCTGATTTCCCTTCCCGCACGTCTTTCTGCACTAAATGGAAGAAAACACCTGCCTTGATAGGAAGGATGCTGAGATAGTTGGCATGTTGTCTTCAGATTAATCTTTAGATAGTGGGTTTAAGTTATGTAGCTGTTTAAAATGCTGTTTTATACTAAATATGTTGGTTTGAATTATCATCAACCACCCAACACCCAGGAATAAAATCTCTTCTGTTACTGTTTTTTCTTTTTAGGACAAGTACAAGCGTGCCTTGGCAGATGCAGAAAACGTGAGGCAAAGAAGCCAGAAGCTGGTAGAAGAGGCAAAGTTATATGGTCAGTGGAGGCTCCCTTTGTGTATCGTCATAAGACCCAGGAAATGCACAGCCTGGAAAACTGTGCTGACTGGCCCACAGTTTTGAAAAGTTGTACTTCCCAGTGATTCTGACTGTTCGGTTAAACAATGTATTTGGGGCAGAGAGGTTTGAATGGTTCCTCACTTTGCATCAGAATTGTAATTGACTCGCTAGACAACGGTGAGACTGCTTAAGTCAGCAACTTGAAATTTTCTTTAAATTTTGTATTGGATTTCCTACACTAGTAGGAAAGTAGCACTAGTAGATTTTCCAGTACGGTTTGCAGCTTGAAGTTTGCCTTTTTCATGCACTTTGGTCTCAGAACTGACTGCAAAAGACTGAACCAAGAGCACAGAATACTGGTTTTCCTTCTGGTTTGGGTTTTTTTGTTCCTGGTGTTTGTTTTGAGCTTAGTTCTTTTTTGTGGGTGAGGGTATTTTGTTGGGGGTTATTTTAGCCTTCTGTATTAGAATAACTTCTCTGTTTTGTTGAAGGCCATAGTTTTCAAATAGAATAAACGGGTGGATTCTTTTCAGTGATAGGAATGTACAGTCAGTAGCTACAAGGAGTGCTAGAAACACATCTTCAAGAGCCAGGCTACTGACATCTGATGTAGCTTTCTGACAGTTCACCTACAAATCCGTAAAACAAAAATCATATGCAAATACTGCAGCAGAAGAATGCTGTAGCACCTTAGTGTTTGACTGTCCCTCTGGCTTAAAGAATGGTGCTCCTGTAGTTTTATTTTGTGGGGTTTTTTTAAGCTAAAGACTTGACCTCTGGTAATGCTTGTATCGATTCTTGGTGAGGAACAAAACACCGAAAATGTGAACTTGAGTAATAAAGGCTGGCTGTGGCTTAAAGAAGAAAAGAATAAGGCTACGAAAATGCAGTGCAGTTTGTCATTGGCTTCCCTCTGCGTAGAAATGTGTTAGTCTACTGAATCGTTTTGGGTTTTTATGATTCTGCCGACAGTTTGCGTTGAGTGAGATCAGTCCACATTCTTCTAGCGTGAGCCAGGAAACAGCTTCAGGACACAGACTCTTGTCAGCTTAGGAATTGCTTAGACTTTACAAAACACAGCTTTTGACTCTGCATAAATAGTGTAGTGGGAGGGAGAGGTGTGAGTTCTTTTCATTCAAGGAGGAATCATTCAAGGAATTAATTTCTTGGACTCCTCATCAGTCTGACTACTTTATTCTGCAAATATTTTTAGCAGGTCAGATCAAAGAGTTGGAATAGGACAACATAATTGTTTGATCTTTAGGTGAATCCCAGGATGAGAGAGACATGAGGAATTTGCATTCAGCCATCTGAAGGTTTTGGTATCTTTGACTGGAATTTTAACTGTTGATATCAGGTCATCAGCATAGCTGTAGCTCTTTTAAGTATTAGGTTGAATTACCTTTTTTTCATAGAACTAGAGCAGGTGAAATATCTGTAATAGTTCCGTATCATCAAGTAAAACTGGAAAGGACATTTTACTCCAGATGTTTACAGTATCACATATCTTCTTAAAAATCTAAGAGTACAGATTATTGCTGTAGGATTTGGGGTTGTGTTTTAGGTGATTTTTTTGACATTTTTTTCCCATAGTGGACTAATCCCATTTCCTCCTCTTTCTTTTTAGGGATTCAGAGCTTCTGTAAGGACTTACTAGAAGTTGCAGACATTTTGGAGAAAGCAACAGAAAGTGTTCCAAAAGAAGAAATTAAGGATGAGAATCCTCACTTGAAGAGCTTATACGAAGGTCTCGTTATGACAGAAGTACAGATTCAAAAAGTGTTTAAAAAACATGGCCTGCTCAGACTGGATCCTGTCGGAGCCAAGTTCGATCCCTACGAACATGAAGCGTTGTTTCACGCTCCCATGGAAGGGAAGGAGCCGGGCACTATCGCATTAGTATCCAAGATTGGCTATAAGCTGCACGGGCGTACGCTGCGGCCAGCCTTGGTGGGTGTTGTGAAAGACCCTTAGCTGCTTAATCCGAAAATTTAAAATGCCATACAACTATTAAACAGCGGGATGGTTTTTCTCTGACACCACGCTTTCCTCATTCCTCCACCCCCTGAGAGGTTTAAATGAATTGGTTGAGATCTCCCAGTGACAATGAAGCAACTGATTAAATTCTCCTGCTTAGCAGCCTTCAGAATCACTGTTCTGTAAGCTCTCCTCCTGAGTGTGAAATACAAGAGCTGTTAAGCCCTCTAATGCTTTAGATGAGGTAACGTTTCTTACAAGTATTGCTACCGAAGGTGCGTTAAGTTGAAAGGGATGAAATGCTCACAAGAATTTTGCAATGTCACGTTTATCACGATGTGTACGTTGAATATCCAAATAGTGGTTCAAACACTTCCTTTTGTTTTGTAGAACTACCATTGCAGAAGTGGGTGAGCTAGTGCAAACAACCTGTTTTCTGCAAGCAGCTGTCAGCTTTTACACACTGAGATCATAAATGTCCTTTTTTGTTTAGTCAGAAATAATCTCTCTTGAGAACTGAAATTGAAACCTTTGTGAATTCTGACCTGTAAATAAAAGGCAATGGAGAGTAGAAATCTCCTGTAATTGTTCAACCCTTTTTGTTCTGTACTAATGTTGTCTCAAGAAAACCATCTAATACTTGTATGGCATCGAAGAACCAATAGAATTTATCCTATCTCTGGATTCTTAATTTAATATTGTATAAATTGGTTTAAACAATTTTGATAGTCTTGTAACTTCCAAGCTTTACAATCAGTTTGTTATGCAAACTGTAGGTACAACCCTGCTGAAAGCCACAATACCCAAAGAAGGGAGTAGCTGAGAGTTTGTTATATGCTAGCTTTCAGAATTACATAAATAATTGCATGTAAGTGGCGCAAACAAAAACGTGAACTCAGTTTTATTTTCATTTCTCACATTTGTTCAGCTTGGATCTTCAGTTGCAACAGAACTTTACCCACACATTGTCATGTCTAACTGCACCCACTGCTCCCAATCCTACAGAATTGGGCTAAAAGACAGCGTGATTAGCTCAGTGCTTGGTCCACATTTTGTGTGGCCACCTGGACAGGAGCGAGTGGAACTTGGCAGATGACAAAACTGACAAAGCATCTGTCCTCTTAGGTCCTTGAAGCCCATGTATTTAACACACAGGACAGAAACTTCAAATTTAGGCATGTTATTAGGATCTTTTAAACAGTTAAGTGCTTCTGAATTTTTCATGCTTGTGTCAGGTTGTCCTGCATTAAGGAGCTTCTTATGTTAAGGTCAAGTGTTGGTTGTTTTTTGTGTTTTTTTTCTTGGTTCAGATGCAGTTGCCAACAGCTTACTAAATGCTTGACCTGCTTGTGGTGAGAAGGATTACTTGTTCTTTAAGACTTGTTTTCCCAGTGCTGATTCACCTCATGGAAATCGGACAGTTAACTGGGAACCACCCAAGTGCATACTGCTGTTTGGGCGTTAGTCATGTTTAAGGATTCATTCATTTTTTCCAAGAAAGAAAATCAATGACTGGGCAGGGGCGGGAGAGTAGTTTTTAGTGCATGTGAAGACAACTACAGTGTTGGGTTTTTTTAATTAATCAAAGTACAGGGATCAAAATGCAAAGCTTGATTGGAAAACTAGAGTTGAAAAAAGGGGCATCCTATATACTGCCATCTGGATTTGAGCACACTGTAGCTGTGTGAAGTAGGACTGGGGAAATAGCTTTGTTGCACGCTGATTGGAACCTGTGCTCAAGTGATAATGCCATAAAGGGGCCAGGGTCAATTTACTCACTTTTTAAGAAATTCCACAGGTTGTTCTACCCCTTCCCAACCCCTCTGGATCTAAATTAGATCTCATAGCAACTTCATTAGTACAGAAGTTTTTTCCAGTAGGACAATTAAAGGAACAGCTTCTTTCCTAAACAATTTTGTGAATGAGCTTCCCAGCACCTCACCCACCTGTCTTTTTTGGACTACGTTACTTCATTCAGGGTGTCCTTAAACACAAGTTAAACCTTTGTCACAAAGCTCAAACTAGTACCTTGAAAGCTGACACCTATCTCATTTAAGTGATTCCTCTTCCTTGGCTTGCCCTTTCAGAATAGAGAGCTTCAGTCTTCACTGAGAGCTCAAACCACCCAGGCACTACCACACAGCAGTGAGAAGTGCTGAAGAAATCGGAACAAAAGGCATTGGTTCTGAAACTTTAGCATACAAGCAGCCAACAAAGCTACCCTTACTGCCTCTGGTTTAGCCATTTCATAAAGACCACTTCTCCACCCCATCATCCTTTAGCAAAATGTTACTGCAAAAAAAAAAAAAAAAAAAAAAAAAGACGGAAGCCATTTCCTCATTATCCAAGCTATGGTACCATTAAATCAATAATGGAAAGAAACTTTAATACAAGTTTATTTACCAATATACAATGCAAAAACCTAGTAAAATGCTGAGTGTGCACAACATCAGTTAGGTTTTACATGATTTCAGCACAGGCATTTGTGTGTCTGGCACAGCTACACCAGTACACTACTCAAATGAGTGCAACATTCCCTTTAAGGAAGGAGCTGGTAAGCTGAACATGCTCACCCAGTACCTTCCTTCACAGTATTTAATGTGTCATCATTTAAGAGCAACTGGGGCACATGCAAAAAAACATTTTGCAAGAGAGTAAACCAAAAGGCGAATGAAGTCCGTTAACAGTTGCAAAGAAATCTGATGCAGCCGCCGCAGAAGAGAGTAATGGCGGAGTGCTTAGTTTGTGTGATTTACAAGGCAGTTTATGGTCAAAGACTCGTGCAAACCTACTAACACTGTTCTTAATGCTTGCTAGGGCTGCAGCAGACCGTAGGGCAGGAGGGTGTGCATCCAGAACGCTCTGTAACAAGCCCTTCTGCGCCGAGTAGTACACACAGGATGGAGATTAATGCTCCATTGTTACCTCGTGAGCAAATATTACTGTAAAACGTCACTGGGACCAGACTGAAGTAAACATACAGCATTAAAAGAGACTTATTGCTGCCTCTATCAGTAGCAGAAGATCAATATTTTAACAGCTTATGGAGCGTCACTTTTTCATAGGCTTACATTGATGCTGTTAGGACAGATACTATCATTACTAATATCTTTAATTAGAAAAGTCAAGAGCATTAAGCATATAAAACACCTTTTCGTTAGCAACATGAAGGCTAAGTTATTTGTACAGTACAGGAAGCACTTCCAGATCAACACAAGATACAAGTTGAAGAGCTCTTCACCACGTTTTGTCTCAGCGCCTTTGCCCCAGAAGAGAAGCAGCACAGCTCTAGTAAATTGCTGGATTAACATAACTGCATCTCAAACAAACAAACAAACAAAAATAAACAGCAGCTCATAACAAAGGAATGCTTAGACTAAATCAGTTCCATGTGAAAATATGGAACAGCAGCATCCTCTAGTGCAAGTCACCTTTAAAAGTAAAAGCATAGCTGACAATGAGACATTGCTTCTAGGGAAGCCCTTTCCAAGGGACTCGTATTTGCTAAAGCAAACATTTACCACCTTGAATTTGCTTGCAAGTATAAAATAAATATTGATATCCATATTTCATACATTAAAAATACTTTATTTTACATTCATTTTGATGTTCAATAAGTTACTTCTAGCACCAAAGAAACATTTTGGAGGGGCTGAGGAATTAAGAAAGTGTAAATGCAGAATTCATTTCAACATCTAAATGACTCGTTGGTGCCTAGGTTATTTAATTATTTTTCTTTTAAGTTATTGTTCAGATGGGCTTTAGGCTATTGCTTCAGTTAGGCTTAGATGTGCCCAAACAGTGTAAAAGTATAAAAAAAAAAATTAAAAAAAATCACAGATTTGAGAAAAAGAATTTAAACCCCACAATTCTTCTGAACTCCCAGCTACATGCAGAGTCGAAGCTTCAGAACACTATCAGTAATGGTACGTTATGGCAGTTCAGTAACAAGTTAGAGGAAGAACCAAATTGCATAACTAGAATACGATCAAGAAAGGCCGAGTCTCCTTTCCACAGGAGCACGACCAAGAAAATAACCAAGGGTTTAAACCTTACCAACTTGTGTGCTGTTTATACACACGTGTAGGGTGGAAGTGGTTCTTAAAGCTACTCGGCACATCGCAGTCAGTTCCACTGCTGCCAAGGAGAGACAGTTTTGTCTCAAGAATCCCACAACAAGCCACTTACAGGTAAGCCAAACAAAATATTACATCCGAGAGGACATAGCCCTTACCTTTGTTTGAAGGGACATAACATCACAAGCTCAAAAGAAAAAGGCACTAGTTTTGGTTTTTTTCTTCCTTAGAAATGCTGGCTTTGTAATTGTAACTCCTTTTATTCTAAAAATCAGTGGTAACACTATTTTGGTAATGCTGGATACATTAGCTAAAACCCAGTATACCTCTGCCAAGTCACAGAACTAACACTGTTTTAAGATTTTGTGGTATCCTCGCTGACTACAGCCCAAGATGACTCTTCCAGTGCTTGCACTTGTTCTGAAGCAAGACAAGTCCTGTGTGTTTGCACAACCTGCACTGCAAAAGTGCTGGGCTCTGGTCACAGCTGCCCACTCGGTACGACCAGTAGAGCGGCTCGGCACAAGTACCACTGTGCCGGCTTCCACGTGGACAACCACCACTCTCCATTCATTTGGTTCAATAGCAACGTGGGAATTTAAGGATGAAGTGAGCATCAAAATCCGCTTCTAGTCCTCCTTCAGCATCCTTCCCTGAATGAGATCTGACGAGAGCTGTGCCGCGGGCCTGGCGTTTGTGTTACACGCTGTGCTGCACCGCACCGCCAGCCGGGGTCCCTCACAGACATGCAGCTCGGACTGTAGTCAGCAGAGTCACTGCTCCAGGTAGACTGTTCTCTCTGCCCTGAGCTGCACTCATGGTTCTCCTACCACATCAACTTCAATGTATTTAGTCCAGTACTTTGCAAGGCATGTGCAATCAGAACCCTGCAATGGCTTGATTTGCAGCTCTGTACTTCAGAAGCACACAAGCATTTTGGCCTGATCTGTATAACCTCTCATTTTTATTTTTAAAAACCAGGCTTGGTGACCACTCTTCATTTGAAATGCTACTCCCTTTTTCTGTCCCCCCCCAGTCAAAACCAGAAGCAGGCAGTGACCCCAGCTCAGAAGTTCCAGATACCAAAGGAGTAGGCTCCCCCAACAAGAGTAAACTGCCTGAGGCTCCCAATCGCTACAAGACTCACTGCCTATTTTCCCAACCTCCATTTCTGACCCAAATCAGCCACTTCACAGCAGTGCTGACCCCTCCTCCGGAGCAGAGCACCACAGCTGCCACATACCCCTGTGACTTTGCTACCAACTAGCTAACATCAAAGCTTCAGTGGAGTCTCTCGGGGGGAAAAAATTCAAGTCAGGCTATGTCCGGGCCAGCTGGGTGTGAAGGCAGCTCTTGCAGAACCCTTTTCACAGCACAAACACTTGAAGGCATCTCAGCCGCCACATTTCTTCCCTTTCACTCCCTGCCACAGCTCCGCCTCGCTGAATTCTCAGCAGAAGCTCTCACCCCACTGTCCCAGGCGCCCTGGCTGTAGTTACTAAGGAGAACGTTCAGAAAGCTTAGCAATGGCCACAAAACCCTCCACTCGCTGCACTCCTGAGCTCAGGACTTTCTGTAAGCTTTACTCTGCCGCCAGCATTACGTCAAAACACAAACAGAAAAAGAAAAAACACCAAAGG